AACAATGAATTTAAATTAATGCACTTATATAACAAAGTAAAAGGTTTAATTCAAATTTACATTTTGAAATAACCTATTAACGCAGTAGAAAACTTTTAACAATTAGGCATTTTTCACAAAATAGAACGATGCAAGTTGCGTATATACAATCAGATACGTTTAACAAAAAAGTTTTATTTAAGGTAGGTTGTCATTCACCAATTGAACCGAGTCGTGAACTGAACTGAGAGGTGTAACGCGAACGTATAAAATCACCACGTCATTCATGGTGTATCGTGAAAGAATGTCAGTCGTTGGAGATCGATGTTCGTTTCGAGATCTGTAAAAGTATCCCCGCCGATACAATAGCTAGAATATGTGACGGGATCGACATGAAGCACAGTCCCACCATATACGCGGTGATCCAGGCTAAATCCAACGCTATCGCATCGAGACAGCCTGTTTTCCACACGCTTCTTTTACCGTCTTCGTCGAGACTAAAGCATGAAAGACGTATTCGACATGGAGATCTCAAATGAAACGCGATAGAATATAACCGTACAAATAGATAACATACACGGCAATACAAATAAATATAATATCGTAAAGAGCAAATAAACGTCTAATATTAATTAGTGTAATTCGAGTTATTATTATATTTTGGCCTATTCAAATTATCTTAACTTTGTTTTCTGATTTTACAATCGTATGGCCTCCTCATCTGTATACAATTTGATGAGAAGTTTCCAGAGCTTTATCCCGTTTCCTCGCCTACAAAAAGATAGAGGCAACAGGATTACGAAGAGAATCCAACGAAGGCGTCTATTGTTAATTCTCTCACGGTGCCACATTAATAAGATGCAAGGCTTTAACGCTTAAAGGGTGACGACATTGTAGCATCGATTAATAAACGTCGTTTCTCTCACGTGTCGTGTATCCTCCAGTTATCAACGGTGATAATGATACACCGTCATAACGTACTCTACCCTTGCTTTTCGTGCAACGCGTTATCGCGCGATAATTTATTTTCCCGCGAAAAAAAAGAAACAAATTTAAATTACGATGGCTTCTCGCTGTAATTATCAGGTTGGGGGAGAAATCGAGAGAAAATGCGACGGCCCGCGTTTGATCTCCCGGTTGTAAAGCGAGGAGAGAGGGAGAGAGAGAGAGAGAGAGATAAAGAACCTTATCTAAGAAATTCAATTTTCTGGCGGAAAAGCTGCTCTCGTCCTCTCCCACGACCGTACACTTCCAAGTGTTTCCGGCCACGATAGCCGCTGTACACTCTCGAGCGCGGGCGAAGATTTATTCGCAAAATTCGAAATGATGAGGAATTCTCAAGAAAATGTGGCTGGAAGTGTGGGCAAAACTCGTTGTTCAGGACCTCGACACGACCTTTCCTCGTTTATGGTGCATTAAGGCGGAATTTCTTGAAAGAACCGACTGTCTATTTTACTTCACAGCTTATTTCATTGTTAACGGTACATTTAACGTTCGTTAATGAGTTGAGAACGTGCGCTAATGACAAGTAAAATAATGGAGCTATAGAAAACTTTTAGGTACATCGCGAGTGATTTTGACTCTTTTTTTCGACGCGCGCGTTGTCGACGGGAGAGATTTGCGTATCCTTCGAATGAATCATTAGTGAATGTAATTTTGTATAATATTAAAAGGTGATTTTAAATAACTCGACTGTCTAAAATAAGTAACAAGTATAAAGTTACTATAAGAAATTTATGAATATTACTGATTTAGACAACAATTTACAGCTTTCACGCTGTCAAATAAAGTTTTGTCTTTTCTCTGTAGAAAGTAATGCAATCCTATTTGACAATATTCAAAAATAAAATGCTAAGATTACGCGTCACAAAACTGTCATGCAAGAAATAATATGAAATTTTCGAATTTTCCTCGTAGAAATGTATATAATTTTCCTAGATACTCATTCAGTTACTGTCTAATATTATTGTATTCTCATTATTTGTAATAATATCGCAACATAGAGATAAGAAATAGACAAGAACTTGATAGAATCTTATTCAGTGGCTGAAATAATTTTCCTGGTAAAAATATGTACAAACATTTCCGTAGACACCTGCCCAATTATTGTCTAATATTAATTAATTATTCTAATTAATAGATTATAATTAATTAACATACGTAATCCATTTTTGTTCTGTTTTTGTTTAATAAATAAGTTCAGATTTCGCAAGATACCTTTTAAGCGCAGTAACTGCAAACAAAGCTTTACATTGATTGGGATTCCAAATAGTTTTACTTATCAGTTGTTAGACAGAAGTTAATGAACTGTCCAATAACTGTTTAAAAAATGCATGAAATTTCTATCAGGATTTCTCTAAATGTTTTCTCTAAATCGCGTACGTTCAATTAGAAAAGGACAACGAAAGTTTCTCTATATACGTCTCGTGATCTCCTCTTAAGATTAGAAGAGGAATACTTTCCTTCAGGAAGATACAAAAGGTGTTTAACGGAGGCGAAAGTATAAAAGAAGAGCAAAATACACACTCGCGCGCACAAAGATATCCTGCGATAAAAGCTATTGAGGCGATACGTATCAAAAATCGGAAAATATATACTGTCGGGGTTAAAGGGCAATCGTAACGTTGAAATATCTTCCGAGGCAATAATGTCACAGTTACATCAGCTTAGAAATCCACTGTTACGCTCTCAGAAAAATGCGATCGGGTCGACCTCGCAAAATAGAATTTTTCGGCAAAATAATTTATCCATTTACCTTCTCTTTTTAAAATAATAATAATTAGGAACTTTCCTCGGTTATTTTAGCATTAAATAATCTCCAGTATGATCCCTTTAATGCAAAACATGTTCGGCTAAATAGTTTTATAAATGTGGCTAAGTTATATACATAATGTATAAAAGTAAAAAAAAATATAAACAAAAACATTCTTATTTTTATTTTAAATCAATAAACTGCAATAATTTTAACTCAAAAAGCTATACATTTTGCTATTTAATAAAATGTCAAATTTACTTAATTATTAAAGAATTAGGTCTCATTATTTTCACTTCAGCATTTAAAATTTAAATTTTTACACCTTTTATTCTTTCTATCATATATAATTATCGCAAAGTTACGATAAGAACGAATTAGCACCAAAAAGAACGTTGCTCGACCTGGCAAAAATCTCATTGAACCGCTGAACGTCTGTCCAGGTGCAGCACGTCCCGTTTCACGTCTTTCAAGCCGCTAGGCGTTTCCATTATCGGCGTGCAAGACGTCGCCGCTTTTCCACATTCCCGTCGCGTTAATCGCCCCATTGTTCGCGACGTCAGCGGTCGGTGTAGTAGGTAGTCTTCTGTAAGCCTGCCGAGGAAAACCCGCACACACATACACATACGCGCAACTCTAAGCTTTCGCACATACACTCAGTTAAGTATGTGCCAACGGTCCACGTGTACGTCGACGACGATGACGACGACGACGACGTTCGTACGTAAACGTGCACGTGAATATCGAGAACATCAGTACAGGCGGCGTCTCCTTAAGGCGCCTTTGTATATTCATCCTCGCGCTACGTGTGACACGCGAGCGGACCTCCCACAGCAGCTTAAAGGGGAATTACGGGGCTAGGGTGTAAGGAGCCAGGGAGAAGAGAGGATGAGAGAGCCAAAAGGAAAGGGAACGACGAAACCGTTCGTGTACACGCGCTCAAGAGACGTGGTTGTACTTCTGGACCGGTACTACTAGACAGAGAGAGAGAGAGAGAGAGAGAGAGAGAGAGAGAGAGAGGCAGTGAATTTCTCTCGCCAGGCGTTGCTTCATCCCCAGCTATTTTGCCAAGGCGAAAACTTCGGAAAGAGTATCAGCACGCGACGCAGCGACATCGTTGCGGCGACTTTTCGCCGCGTTTCAGGATTTACGAAGCTGCCTCGTTTCTCACGAGAGACCACGAAAAAGAATGTTATATAAGATGTTACAGAATCTAGGAAATTAATTTTGGTAGTAAAAATTTTGTAACAAGTTTGGACTCTATATCCTTACTTGAAAAAATTTTTCAGGAAATCTACTCTACTTTCCGCTTATCATGTTTTATACCACGTGTTCTAATAACTACCATTTGAAAGTACTTTTTTTATTTGGTATAATTATTATAACACAATTTTTGTACTTAGGAGAACTTGTACCAATTTAAAGTCAAATCATCTTTGAATATGGAACAATCTAAAATTTAATCTTTTTGAATTTTAATACAAATAAAATTAAATATCGTCACAATTACTCCAGATGACCCTATAATGTACTTATAATTGATGTTCGTACATACCGGTTTTATAACCTTTCCATATTGCAGCGCTGTGTGTGAGAATTTATTCCAATAAATTGAATCCACTCAATCATAACTTTACAAGATATTTACAAATTAATTCGTCAATCATAATTAAACTTTTTAAGTATGGTATCACAATCTACAGATTGATTTCACTGTGTCGTATGAATGAAATTATTACTCAACATGAGATAAATTTGCAAATGGTCTGGATGGTTTTGCATCTGACGCGCGAATTTATTCCGCTGTAATCGTATACGAATATTTAAGCAACGTTTTTGTTTTAATACATTTTAGCGTTGCAACAACGACATTACGAACAATCTAATTTTTCGCGTACATTAGCGGAAGTACGCAAGAGATCGCGCGTTTTATCTATTGTACAAAAATTATAAATCGTATACATTAACACGTTATATGCAAACGCAAAGTGCAACTGAAATTCCGAGGTCATTAGTCTCGAAAAATTTATCAACACTTTGGAGGAATGTTATTATTCGAAAACACGCTAAGATTCTAAAATTTAAGAAAGTCACTGAGTTCAATGGGAGCGGGAGAACTTCACGATAGATGAGCGTGTACCAATATTAAATAAAAACTTCGAGACAAAGGACGCGATGATTTCTTTGAACAAAAATTAAAAGTCCTAATAAGATTATCTATTGGACAGAAAGTTTTAATATAATACCGCAACGTCAACTCGTGGTCGCGACCCCGTGAACTCGTGTATTTCACGGCGGAGCGAGTAGCGAAAAGTTCATCTTGAGAGAAGTATCAACGCGCTGCACGTTATGGCAGTTCCGGCTGCTGTGCTCATCTCTATCCTCGCATCGGGTCACCCGTCGGCAAGAATAAAATGCCCCGAGTAGGAAATCCGTGATTCTCTCGCAGCTCTGCGAATACACTGTACTCGCGGAATACATGCAATGGTCGCACTGACCTCGCTTGTCAATATAAACGTAAAGTTCTTTGCCCGGATATACAAATATTCGGAATTCACAGGTTTTCTAAATTCTTATTATCTATGGTGTAAAAAGAAAGATGACCTATTCCGATTAGAGAGCCTCAGAGGGAGGGAGTGGCAAATTGGTCACGTGAATGACCGTGTCCAATCAAGGAGGGGGGGTCACGTGACCAGTTTTCTCCAATCTCTTGCTTATGGAGTTTTGATGACCGCATCCAATCAAAGGAAGAGCAGTTTGCCACTCTCTCCTTCAGAGGCTCTCTAATTCCGATGGATTGAATGTGGTGGGGGATCTGTCAGTCAATCAAATTTTGAGCTCATTTGCGGAAATTCACACGGCTCGTTCACGCTGCAAATAAACTCAATTTCTGATTGGTCGAGATGGACGGGACCTCCGCCATTATGCGCAATGAGTCATTTTTCTAGTTTCTTTACATGCTAATTATTATCAAAAGCTTCAAAAGCGAAGTTATTAACGCTTTCATTTTCCATACGATT